TGCATCTGCCACTTCTCCGACCATTTCATCAGTCTATTCAAATCATCCTGAAGTGCTCTAGTGTCCTCATTAGAATGAATTGGACGGCCTATTTTGGTGTCATCAGCAAATTTGCTAATGTCGCTATTTATTCCCTCATCTATGTCGTTTATGTAAATTCTGAACAACAACGGGCCCAACACTGACCCCTGCGGAACACCGCTTTTGACGTGCCCCCATTCTTATTTCTCCCCATTTATGCAAACTCTCTGCCAGCCATGCCTCTACCCAGGAAAAAATTTCGCCTCCTATTCAGTGTGCCTTAAGTTTCCTCAATAGCCTCTAAAGTTCCTAGTGTCTGTTTTTGTACTTAGGACTCTAAAGTGCTTAGGAGTATACTTGGAGTATAGAAGTTTATCCCTTCTGTATTTTTTAATATGTTCGTGGCGAGCTTTGGGGGAGGGAGGAATTCCTGAAAAGAAAAAAATCGAAAAAAATTGAAAAAAAAAAGAATGTTTTCTTACAGAAAAATAGTGCATAATTCTGGCAACTTGTTGATGCAATCAGCTTGTTTCTATCATAATTTTAAGTATCTTTTTCCAAGAATGTAATTTTTTTTGTTCGTGCTGTCATCAAGAGGACATACCTTGAGTTTGCCTTGAGAGGGTTTCGGGGGTCAACGCCCCCGCGGCTCGGTCAGAGACCAGGCCTCATGGTGGATCAGGTTCTGATCAACCAGACTGCTACTGCCGGCCGCACGCAAACTGACGTACGAAAGCCTGTCCAGTGCCTTCTTGAAGACAGCCAGGGGTCTATTGGTAATCACCCTTATGTATGCTGGGAGGCAGTTGAACAGCCTTGGGCCCCGGACACTTATTGTGTTGCCTCTCAAAGTACTCGTGGGGCCCCTGCTTTACATTAGGGTAATGTTGCTTCTCCTGCCGAGTCTTTTGCTTTCATAGGGAGTGATTTTCGTGTGCAGGTTTGGTACCAGTTCCTCCAGGACCTTCCAAGAGTATATTATCATGTATTTCTCTTTCCTGCGTTCCTGGGAATACAGATCAACGACCTTCAACCATTACCATTAATTTAGGTGCCTTATCGTACTTATGTGTGCCGTGAAAGTTCTTTGTACGCTCTCCAGGTCTGCAATGTCGCCAGCCTTGAAGGGGGCCGATAGTGTACAGCAGTATTCCAGACTAGAGAGAACAAGCGATTTGAAGAGTGTCATCATGGGCTTGGCGTCCCTAGTTTTGTAGGTTCTCATTATCCATCCTATCATTTTCCAAGCCGATGAGGTAGATACATTATTGTGGTTTTTGAAGGCGAGATCCTCTGACATTATCACTTCCAGGTCTTTCACATTTTTTTTGCTCTATTGTATGGTTAGAATTTGTCGTATACCCTGATACACTTTCAATTTCCTCAAGTGTTCCATATCTGAGTAGTAGAGATTTCGTCTCGTTGAACTTCATATTGTTTTGAGTGGCCCATTTGAAGATTTGGTTGATGTCTGCTTGGACTTTTGCACTGTCTTCGATGGAGGTCACTGCCATGACAATCCGGGTGTCATCCGCAAAGGAAGACATGAAACTATGGCTGACATCTCTGTCTATGTCAGAAATAAGGATGAATAGAATGGGAGCGAGTACTGTGCCTTGTGGAAATGAGATTTTCACCGTGGCTGCCTGGGACTTTATTTACTGTTACTCTTTGTGTTCTATTTGTCAGGAAGTAATAGAACCATGTACCAACTTCTGTTATTCCTTTATCACGCATTTTGTGTGCTATTACACCATGGTCACACTTGTCGAAAGCTTTTGCAAAGTCTGTGTATACTACATCAGTATTTTGTTTATCCTCAACAGCATCCAGGACCTTCTCATAGTGGTTCCAGGAGCTGGGACAGGCAGGAGCGACCTGCTCTAAACCCGTGTTGCCCTGGGTTGTGTAATTGATGGGTATCTATTTTTTAGTGTGTATGGGATGACCCCTGTGTCCATGCTCCCTCTCAATAGAATGCTGAAGGCATGCGATAGGGGCTTCTTGCAATTCTTGATGAACAGGGAGTTACATGAGTCTGGACCTGGGGCAAAGTGCATGGGCATGTCATTTATTGCCTTTTCATAGTCTTTTGGTGTTAGGATAATATCCGAGATTTTTGAGATGACCAAATTTTGTGTTTCGTTCATAAAGAATTGTCGACCCTGGGCAGTCTGGCAGCAGTTCGCTGAACACTGAGTTGTACTGGGTTTTAATATCTCACTCATTTCTTGGCTGTCATCTGTGTATGTCCCATCCTCCCTAAGCAAGGGCCCAATACTGGATGTTGTTTTCCTTTAGATTTGGCATAAGGGAAGAAGTATTTTTTCTCAATTTCCTTTATGGCTTTAGTTCTTCCTGAGATTCTTGTCTCCTGTAAGATTCCTGCAGCTTAAGTTCGATATTCGTAATTTCATTGACCAGTGCCTCCCTTCGTATTTCAGATATATGGGTCCCTCTCAGCAGCTTTGTGACTCTTCGCTTTTGCCTGTATAGGGAGCATCTCTCTCTCTCTAGTTTACATCTCGTTCTTTTTCTTAATGGAATGTGTCTAGGGAAGATCTCAAGAACATGATGTCAGTTCGTGTGGGTTTTGTTTTTTACTAATAAATTAAGATTTTTATGATTGTTTCATTCCAAATACATTACATGGCATCTTCTCTGTGGATTCCATATTAGTGTTCAGAGTGAGAGAGCTGCTCAGTCGCCTGCGGGTTGCCGACTAGTGTATGGGGAGGGGGGGGTCACGGTGTGCCGACATTTGGCGCGCCGTGACCGTAGAGTTTTTCATAAAACTTGCATCTCTTTTACTCAGGAATAAGTTACTGACATTTTCATCCATGTATTGGGAGAACTATTTGTAGGAGTGTTATGATTTATGCACATGTTATTGCGATATTTATTACCGTGTTGTTTTTATTGATTTTCCCCCCCAAAAATCCTTAAAACAACAAATTTCAACATTTTTATTATGCAATCTACTAACATTTCGCTCAAATGCTGGTTGCATCAGAATTATTTAGACTTTTATCTTTCATCTGATGTCAACTAGAACATTGTACATATTACCAATTTTGTAAACGGGGGAAGAGTTTTATGCCCTGTAGAATAGAACACTATTTAATTTTTCTATTTATCTTTCAAGGCAAAAATTTAATACAGACAGTGTGCAGGTTTTAAATTCTGCTTAATTCACAGTAAAAATTTCATTGAAATTGAACAAAAAGAAATTTATTTTTTTCCTTTCCCCCCTCCCTCCCCCCCTTTCAGTGAGGCTACCTGGGTCAGAAGCATGCTGAGTCTGTTATTCTAATGCTACTGGTTTTTATATAATTGCTATTGCAGGCTGCTGCAGTGCGACGTGTAGTCTGCTGAAATGTACCATCAGTGTAAGCATAGTGCTCATTATACAACAAATGATAGTTTCATGCTCTGCTGTCATAATGATGAGTGGATTCTCATTGTGCTTCGTGACAGGTGTATATATCTATACAGCGAGGAGCGTGCATGAAGGGATGTCAGTGTGAGACGTACTGAATTTGAGTATTTAATTAATTGGATTACTCGTGTTTGCTTTTGCCCAGTTGTTGTATATGCTATGGGTTGGTATATTATGGACAGTATCTGGCATGAGACAACGTATCCCTGGGTCATGATGACAGCGTCTGGTCTTCAGGATCTTCATAGTTTTCATATATTTCATATATAATAGGAAACTTCAATTCTTCCCCTATGTTTGTGGTTCTAATAGACATTGCAGCACTAAGAATTATTCTCATTATCAGTAAGCAAAGTGAGATCAAAGGTAATCAGATGTTGCTTATTAAGTCGGTGAGATCTCTGATAACATTTTAAATAAAAAAATGCTGCCTCTTTGTCGTTGATGACAGTATTCCTCCAGAGAAGTGTTCTAAGGGTTTGTCTCTCTTGAAGACTGTGGTGTAGTTTACTTAAAATATCGCTGCTGATAACAACTTCTAAATATTTGTATTGTTCGCTAAACTTAATGCCAGCGTTATTGATTTGGAAGGGCTGATGAATGTTAGTGGAGACACTAAGACATGATTCTGGCCTTGTCTTTGCATACTTCAAGGACACGGTCATTACTACTAATTGTGAAGGTATCTAGAAAGATGACACCCTCGTCATCTAGTGTAGGGGTGTTTGACACAAGCCTCTGAATCAGTACATTAAAGAGAATGGGACTGAGTACCACACCCTGAGGTGTACCTAACTCAATACAAACATCGAGACATCTCCTTGGGTAATAGCCTGAGCCGGGAGATTTCGGCTCGTTGAGGGCGTCTTTCTTCAGCGTTCACGATTCACTTCTGTTTTTGAGTTGAATATATCCCACAGTAAAAGTTACTCATTATCTTGCACTGCATTTGGAAACAGATACTTTGTTGTATTGAGAAAAGAACTTAGTACAAATAGTAGAGATTGATGCAAGGGAAAAATAATAAGTTGTATTTAATTTTAAGAAATAATGAATGTTTTGTTCTCTTGATAAAAGCTGGTGAGAAATGTTCTTCTATTTCAACTTTGCACAAAAGATATTGAATAGGATAATTATGTAACATTGCATAGTTAAGTTACAATATTATGTTCGTCATTTCACATATAGTTAGACATAAAAGAAATCACAATAAAACAAGTAATTGCAAATATGAAAAGCATACCACAGTGAAAATAGCAAATAGCAAATAAAATCTGAACGCTTTCACGTTCTTAAACCCATGTGTAAGTAATCAGATTTTACTTCCTACTTTCACTGCGGGATTTTTCTCATAGTTAGATATAGTTATATCTTATTCTGCCCACTACGAAAAAGATTGAAAAAAACACCAGGCTGGGCAATGTTAGTTTTCAAGCGTTTTTCCTACATATTTCACCTGCAGTTCGCGGATTCGGCAAAACATTTTCACCTGTGTAACAGCAAGTTCACATTTTTCCAAGATTTTTGTCTTTCTTTCCAGACACGATATAAAAACTGTGATCAACCTGCAGCTTCCTGGAGAACACTCGTCGTGCGGGGATCCCCTCAGTGACTCAGGATTCAGCTACGACCCCAGTATTTTCATGGAGAATGGCAGTGAGTATTCTCTGAAGAAGTTTTAGTGGAATGTTGGAAGAGTCTATGTTGCATATAAGTTTTATGAACATGAGAAGATAGTGACTTCGTGGGAATTTCAAGAAACTTCGGATAAGTTTAAAGAGGTTGTTGAAGGTTTGCAGGATTTATTGATTACACTAACAACACACATCCGGAACTTGTAATTGCAATTAACATATATTTCCAGAAGATGTTGATTCTTCTTTTTCTTCTTTTTATTATTATTATTATTATTATTATTATTATTATTATTATTATTATTATTATTATTATTATTATTATTATATTGACAAAGAAGCCCTCAACCCCGAAGGGTTATAAAGCACGGGGAGAATAGCAGGTTACCAGGTTTCATTCAACGAAAGGGAGGGTAGTCACTAGCAATAATGAAAAGCAGCAACTGGAAGGAAGGTAGAATGAATAATGGATAAAACATTTAGACTTGAAGATTTCCTTGACATTGTATCTTGGTGTGATGCGCCACATTAAGGTAAGGAAATAATTTTTAACCGGAATCAAAATATGATCCCCTCCAACTATTTTAGAACATGTGTCTGTGTGTTTGTGTGTGTGTGTGTGTTTATTCACCTATTTGTGGTTGCAGGGGTCGATACATAGTTCCTGGCCCCGCATCTTCAATGTGTATTTGTCTGTGTGTGTGGGGTGTGTGTGTGTGCATCCGTATGTGTTTACTCTAGGGTAAGAAACCTTAGCATTTTAATTCTAGCTGCACATGTTAATTCTTTCTCAACTGGTGCTTGCATTTTCTGTTTTCTACGTAATTGATATGTCGATTGAAGTGTATTCGAGAGTAAATTGTATTGTTATCCTCTTAGATTAGCGATATCGTGTGTGTGTGTGTGTGTGGTGTGTGTGTGTGTGTGTGTGTGTGTGTGTGTGTGTGTGTGTGTGTGTGTGTGTGTGTGTGTGTGTGTGTGTGTGTGCCTATCTGTATTCACCTAGGAAGCTTTTAGCAGAAAATCAAGACAGATGGTACTAATAACATGAGGCCAGTAGGTATAACAGGAAGAGCAGGAAAATAGAATTTCCATTTTTTAATGAGCAAAGGAAAATCTGTCCTGAGTGAAGTAAAAGTTCAGTACGTGATGAATGGTTTTGAAAACCGACAAGTTGAAGAATTGAGACACTTATGCAACATATGGGAATCTTTATTGAAGAAACGTTTCGCCACATAGTGGCGTCATCAGTCCAATGCAAAGCAGGAAGATATGCTTTGTATTGGACATGGTGGTGTCCAAGGCACAAAGGAGTATTCTGTCAGAATTCATAGACCAAGAATATTCAACTTCCAAGTCACAGGTATCAGAAATATTAGCGGAACTCATGAACAAATTTTGAAAAGGAAACTGGTTCACTTCTTCTGCGAAGTGCCAGATCGATCAGGCAGTGATGGATGCGTGTGTGCCACCGCACCTCCAACAACAACAACCTGGTTGATCTGGCAATCAGAAGAATAGTCTGACACCAGACTAGGCTGCAAATCTAGAAAAATTGTCGATAATGATATATCAGAGAAGGTTCTTTCTCCTACCCCATGTTCTCACTACTACCCCAGGTTCTTTCTACCACCCCAGCTTCTCCCTACTACCCCAGGTTCTCCCTACTACCACAGGTTCTCTCTACTACACGAGGTTCTCTCTACTACACGAGGTTCTCTCTACCCCAGGTTCTCTCTACGACCCCAGGTTCTCTCTACTACCCCAGGTTCTCTCTACTACCAAAAGTTCTCCCTTCTACTACAGGTTCTCCCTAATACCCAACGTCCTAATACTCCAGGTTCTCCCTAGTACCAAAGGTTTCCCTACTGCCCCATGTTTTTCCTACCACCCCAGTTCTTTCCATCACCCCAGGTTCTCCTCAGCACCCCAGGATCTCTTCACAACCCAATTTCTTTCCACCACTCCAATTTCTTCCCACCACCCCAGATTCTCTTCACCCCAGGTTCTCCCTAGCAACCCAGTTTCTTCCCCCACCACCCCAGGAACTTCTCACCACCTCAGGTTTCCCCTAGCAACCCACGTTTTCCTCCCTAACCCAGGTTCTCCCCAGCACCCCAGGTTATCCCAGGAACCCCAGGTTCTCACCAGCACCCCATGTTCTCCTCGCCACCTCAGGTCCCAGGTTCTCCTCACCACCTCTGGTCCCAGGTTCTCCCCGACATCCCAGGTTCACTTCACCATCTCAGGTTCTCCCAAGTACCGCAGGTTCTCCTCCAACCCCAGGTTCTACCCAGCATCCACGTTCTCTCCTGCACCCCAGGATCCTCTCACCACCAGTGGTTCTCACAGGTAACCAAAGTTCTCCCCAATACCCTAGGTTCACCTCAATCCCAGGTTCTCCCCAGCACCTCAGGTTCTCACAACTTCCCCAGGTTCTCCGAGGCACCCTAGGATCTCCTCATTATCCCAGGTTCTCCTCAGCATTCCAGGTTCTCACAGCCGCTCAAGATTCTCCCAGGCACCCATGCTTCTCCCCAGCACCCCAGGTTCTCCTCACAACCCCAGGTTCTCCTAGGCACCCTAGGTTCTCCCCAGCACGCCAGAGTCTCCCCAAGCACACCAGGGTCTCTCCCAGTAGGTCATGGCCTCCCCAGCACACCAAGGCCTTCCCCAGTAGCCTATGGTCGCCCCAGCACACCAGGGTCTCCCACAACACAACAGGGTCTCACCCAGTACTCCAAGGTCTAATTAACACACCAGGGTCTTCCCAACACACCTGGGTCTCTCCAAGTGTGCCATGGTCTCAACCACCCCGACAGGGTCTCCACTAGCACACCAGGGCCTCCCCGGTGCTCCAGGATCTCCCCAATACACCAGGGTTTTCCTTAACACGTCAGGGTCTCCCTAGCACACCAGGGTCTCTCCAGCACACCAGGGTCTCTCCAGCACACCAGGGTCTCTCCAGCACACCAGGGTCTCCCCATCACGCCAGAGTATCCACCAGCACACCAGGGTCTACCCAATACACCAGGATCTCTCCAGCACACCAGGGTCTCCCTTAGCACTCCAGGGTCTCCCCTAACACTCAAGGGTCTCCCTTAACACTCCAGGGTCTCCCCTCTTAGTGTCCCAGCACAACAGTGTCTCCCCAGCACACCAAGGTATCCGTAGCATACCAAAGTCTCCCCAACATACCAAGGTCTCCCTAACACACCACGCTCTGAACATTAAAATGTTGCATATGTGTCTTACCTAACAAACCACGCTCTCCCAACACGCTAGAGTCTCCCCATCACACCAGGGTCTCCCCAACACACCAGGGTCTCCCCAACACACCAGGGTCTTCCTCACCCTCAGTGCACTAGGGTCTCCACCAGTACATCCAGTAAACCACGATCATCCCAACACCAGTGTCTCCCCAACATGTCAGTGTCACCCCAGCACACCAGGGTCTTCCCAACACACCAGGGACTCCACCAGCACATCAGGGTCTCCCCAACATACCAGAGTCCCTCCATAACACCAGGGTCTCCCTTAGTTTCCCAGGGACTCCTCCAGCACACCAGAGTCTCTCCATCACACCAGGATCTCCCCAATACACCAGGGTCTCTCCAGCACATCAGGGTCTCCCCTAACACTCCAGGGTCTTTCCCCCCTGAGTGCCCCAGCACAACAGTGTCTCCCCAAAACACCAGGGTATCCATAGCATACCAAAGTTTTCCCAGCACACCAAGGTCTTCCCAATATATCACGTTCTCCCCAGCACCAGGGTCTTCCCAAAACACCAGTGTCTCCCCAGCACACGAAGGTCACCTACAGCATGACTCAGCTCAGACCAGGGTCTCCTCCAGCTTGGTTCAGCACAAGCCACGGTCTCTCCCAGCTTCACTCAACACGGACCAGGGTCTCCCCCAGCTTGACCCAGCACAGACCAGGGTCTCCCCCAGCTTGACCCAGCACAGACCAAGGTCTCCCCCAGCGTGGCTAAACACAGACCAGTGGCCTCCCCCAGCTTGACCCAACACAGACCAGTGATCTCCCCCAGCTTGACCCAACACAGACCAGTGCTCTCCCCGAGCTTGACCAGCACAGATAATGGGGCTCCCCCAGCTTGATCCAACACACGCCAGGGTCTCGCCCAGCTTGACCCAACACACGCCATGATCTCCCCCAGCTTGACCCAACACATGCCAGGGCCTCGCCCAGCTTGACCCATCACACTCCAGGGTCTCCCCCAGCTTGACCCAACACAGCCAGGGTCTCCCCCAGCTTGACCCAACACACGCCAGGGTCTCCCCCAGCTTGACCCAACACACGCCAGGGTCTCCCCCAGCTTGACCCAACACACGCCAGGGTCTTTCCTAGCTTGATCCAACACACGCCAGGGCCTCCCCCAGCTTGACCCAACACACGCCACGGTCTCCTCCACTTACCCATCACAGCCAGGGGCTCCCCCAGCATTTACCAACACACGCCAGGGTCTCCCCCACTTGACCCAACACACGCCAGGGTCTCTCACAGTTTGACCCAACACACGCCAGGGTCTCCCCAGCTTGACCCAACACACGCCAGGGTCTCCCCCAGTTTGACCCAACACACGCCATGGTCTCCCCTAGCTTGACCCAACACACGCCAGGGTCTCCCCAGCTTGATCCAACACACGCCAGGGTCTCCCCCAGTTTGACCCAACACACGCCAGGGTCTCTCCCCCAGTTTGACCCAACACACGCCAGGGTCTTCCCCAGCTTGACCCAACACACGCCAGAGTCTCCCCCAGCTTGACCCAACACACGCCAGGGTCTCCCCCAGCTTGACCCAACACACGCCAGGGTCTCCCCCAGCTTGACCCAACACACGCCAGGGTCTCCCCCAGCTTGACTCAACACACGCCAGGGTCTCCCCCAGCTTGACCCAACATACGCCAGGGTCTTCCCCAGTTTGACCCAACACACGCCAGGGTCTCCCCCAGCTTGACCCAACACACGCCAGGGTCTCCCCCAGCTTGACCCAACATACGCC